CGCTCACATGCGAACTTTTGGCCCAACAGAGGAAAGTTTGATACTTGAAGTAAAAAAGGAATCTTTGTGGAATACTCCGACGCATCGAAGGCATATAGAGTATGGACTCCAAAGATATAAAATCCACGTTTCCAGGGACATCAAATTCTTTGACGAATTCAACGAAAAAGGCTCATTCGAGAACATCGTTACTGAGGAAACTAAAAATGGTCGTCATAAGATAACGAACGATCTTAATGCATCCAGAGGACCCGCAGCGACGGATATCGGATCAAACAAATCCAATCTAATCAGAGAGCGATTAAATGACGAACAGACAGACGAGATCACCGAAGGGCCGGGCAATGTTGAGCCTCCCAAACGAGGACCTAGACGGTCAAAAGGGTCTACGACCCAGGTACCTACTCCAAGTAAAAGATATGGTCTCAGAAGCGGGGATAAACGGCCCGAATCCGCACCCATCGTTGTTGATTCGTCATCGGATGAAGAAGACGCAGAATCGTATGAATCTATGTACACGTTTCTCGCGAGTAAAATCTTGCCCCCACAAGCCATCACCGGATCAGACACAACTGAATGAAAGGACGCAATCTACGACGAGATAAAGAGTCTCGTGGCAAACGATACATGAGAGCTCGTTGACAGGCCGAAACAGGGCAACGTCGTAGGATGTCGAGTCGTCTTGAAAAATAAATACAAGGCTAACGGCGATCTGAATAAGAGAAAGGCCAAACTGGTAGGCAGAGAATTTTCTTAGCGCCCCGAAATCGATTTCAAGAACACCTTTGCGCCGGTCGCGCGACTCAGCTCGCTCAGAGTACTGGTAGCTGAAGCGGCTGAACTAAACATGCCGATATCGCAATTGGACATTACGTCGGTTTATCTGCACGGAGAGATGGACCACGAGGTACACATCGAGACGCCGGAACTCCTGGAAGAAATGCTCATTAGAATCACGCAAGATGAGTCAAACAAAAACACGCAGAGAAAGGGCGAGGTCATGCTAAGATAATTTCAGCAAGGGTATCCAGTCTGCCTTCTGAGAAAGGCGCTGTACGGATTACGCTAAGCTGGACGTCAGTTGCACTTCGAACTCGACACTGCGCTCAAGAAGACAAGTCTGATACCTACGAGCGCTGACCCGTGCGTGTACATGAATAAGGAAACGGCAATCATCCTGCTTGTCTATGTAGACGATATTCTGATCGCTTCAAGAAGCGATGCTCATCGAAGAAACATCGTCGACGCATTGAGGAAACAATTCGCCATCAAGGACCTTGGAGAATCCAAATACTGTTTGAGCATCGAGATCGTCAGAACGAGGGAGAGAATATTTCTGTCTAACTAACTTCTGTCTAAATTTAGTTTTATCTTTCAGACCAACGAGAGAAAACCTACATGGCTTTGTTGACGCAGATTGGAGGAAGTCATGGATATTGTTAAGATCAAATTTTGCACTCGATGTTTCTAAAATGCTTTGTTTGCTATCTTCCCAGACAGCACACAATATTTATAAAATATTTATAGAATATTTATAATATTTATAGAATATTTATAATAGTTACAATATAAATATGATATTAAAATCGGCCAATAGAGCCAAACGCGAAAATTAATTAACTTACAATTAGTGGTAAGAGCAGTCGCCCGAAAAGTGAAAGACGCGGGTTCAATTCCCGCTTCAGCGACTTTTTGGACCTATATTTTTCTCGCTATATTTCAATATGTAAGTTCAAGATTAATTAATATATGGAATTTAGTAATTTCAAACCAAAAATACAGTTCCGAAAAATTAATTTTCGCGCTTGGCTCTATTGATCGATTTTAATATCATATTTATATTGTTATTAATACTGAGAGCTAATAATAAAAATATTTTTTATTTGATTTATAATAATTATTTTAATATTTTATAAATATATATATCCGTTGGAAAACATTGACAATTCTAACTGGTTAATAAATATCAGCTCTAAAGTGTTACCTGATACTGTATCTAAACTCTTAAGTTTAGGTGACACGTTTGCATTGCCGAATCATTGCTCAAATAAGAACGACCGACTAAATTATACCGTTGAAGTCATAAAGAATTTCGAATCAAATTGTCGTTATGTCCCTGAGGATGCTTTGGAAACAACTAGAATATCCATTGCCAATTCACTACAAAAATTTCTATCTAAAAGTAAACATATTAATTATTGTGACAGATTTATTCAGAATGCTTTTAATATTTCTAATAAATATTTGCAAAATAACAAAGATTTGATTGTTACCAAAGCTGATAAAGGACAAGTGACAGTGGTTATGAATAGAAATGACTGTGTGACTAATATGGAATTATTGTTAAATGATTCGATGACATACAAAAAATTAAATAAAAATCCGATTACACGTCTGACGAATAAACTTCATACGTTAGTAAAGTCATGGCATAAGAATGAGATCATTGATGACCAAACATATAAATTTCTGAATTGCACGAATGGTAATTTGCCACGGTGTTATGGGCTCCCAAAGATCTATAAGAGCGGGTATCCATTAAGAATCATTGTGTCATCGTTGGGCAGTCCCTTTTATAATATTGCCGGTTACATTCACGATATACTAGTTAAGTCTGTTAAGAAACCGGATTCAAATGTTAAAGATGGTTGGACGTTTGTGAATATTATTAAAAATACAAGGGTTAATGAGGATGACGTAATGATTTCCTTGGATGTTTGTTCGTTGTTTACGAATATTCCAAAAAATTTAGTTTTTTCTGCAATTGAAGGTCGTTGGAGTGACATAAGTCTAAGAACTAAATTTAATTTGCAACAGTTTCTATACGCTATTGATGTAATACTTACTTCAACTAGTTTTCAATTTAATGAGCAGTACTATGAACAGATTTATGGAAGCCCTATTGGATCTCCCCTATCACCAATATTAGCCGACTTGGTAATGGATGACTTAGAAACAAATTGTTTAAATTCTTTAAGTTTTAAAGTTCAGACTTTCTATAGATATGTGGATGACATTTTTGTTATTTTACCTAGCTCTAAAATAAATGAAATTTTAAGTACATTTAATAAATATCATAAACGATTAAAATTTACGCATGAAATAGAGACCAATTCTTCTATTTATTTTTTAAATTCTACAGTTATCCGCAATGGGAATGAATTGACAACTAATTGGTTTAGGAAACCTACATGTTCTGGTAGATACATCAATTTTCTTTCAAGTCATCCTATTAAATATAAAATTAATACGATTTACAATTTAGTAGACCATGCAATTTTACTGTCAAAGGAACAATTTCATAATACGAATATTTAGATTGTAAAGAACATTTTAATTAATAATTGCTTTTTGGATCGTATTATTAATAAATATGTAAATAAAAGAATTAAATAAGTACTAAATAACAATAGGAATCTTAACCGTCACAATGCGGATAATAACAACAATTTGAGTAATGATTTGGATAATAACGATAATGTTAATTCGGCTCAAGATAAGAATTATGTAATTCCACTTCCATACGTTAAAGACGTCAGCGACAGTATTAAAAAGTTATTTAAAAATGCTAACTTAAATGTCGTTTATAGTTTGTCAAAAAAGTTGAATAGATTGATAAAACGAGGTAAAGATTTAATAACTAATGATATAAAAACAAATGTAATATACAAGATCAATTGTGAAAATTGTAATGCCTCATACATTGAACAAACTAAGAGACATTTATGCACTAGAGTGAAGGAACATGCCAGCAATATTAAATTACATGAGTCTAATCATTCGGTTTTGAGTAAACACAGATGTGATTGTGGACATAACTTTGATTGGAAATCACCGACCATTTTACATAATGAGAAACATGTAAGAAAGAGAGAGATTGCTGAAATGTTCTTCATAAAGAAGCACGATAATACGGTTAACCTACAGAAAGACACTGAGAATTTGACAAATGTTTACGACAAAATAATAAAGATTGTTTAGCGTCGCGTTTCAAAGTTAGTCGTTGACGAAACATCATAGCGATGGGACGTGTTCCTCTTTTAACTTTTAACTATTAATTTTAAATAAGACCGGTGTGATGTTGCGTTAATCTCAGTTTAATTAATGGGTATGTTTATAAAATTTATATTTATTGATATGTATTCAAGTATATACGCCGAGACGAAAACGAGGATTAGCGTGACACCTCTCGGCACTTTCTTTTGGTTATTCGCGAATATTGTCTAAAGCTCTGTTTCCGCCTAATCATCGTTTCCCCCTTACGACAGACCGAGATCGGCGCGCGTAGTGAGCGGAGCTCCGAAATTACTCTCTTAGATTCTCACTGATACTATCGTGATATCTTAATAAAGTGTTCCTGTGGTTCAATAGATTATTAATCTCGGTTCTCTCAAATCTATAATAAATAAAATATACAACAGCTGGCGACAAGGATCGGAACAATTAAGGCGTGAAACAGTTAAACGAAGTGGAAATCAGCCACGTGGAAACGTGGCAAAATTTTTTTTTCGTTGGAGTCGAACGCTCGACGCAGTTCGAGAAACTACGTTGTGGACTGAGCAAATTGCCAACCCGGAGGAAGCCTAAGACAGGATGACGACAACGGGTACAAGCTCGAGGACGCAGAGCCCGGTGCCGGGGATAAATTCATCGGCGAAGGTAGCTATAGCGAATCCTTTACAAGTCGACGTTTTCGACCCGCAACGGCAGCCGTTAATCCGTTGGCTACAGCGGCTTGAAGGTGCCTTTCGAGTTTTCCAAATCTCGGGAGACACGGAACGTGCTGCCTATTTATTACATTTCGTGGGCGTGGAACCGTTTGGAATTTTATGTGATCGACTGGATCCTGTCGATCCATATACTCAGTCGTATAACACGCTAGTAGAAAAATTAAAAGAATTTTACGCGCTGGAACCACTGGAAATAGCAGAGATATACATATATAGAAAGCGTGGGCAACGCTCAGAGGAGTCGGTCCAGGAATATATGGCCGCGCTCCAGAAACTTTCGTTACACTGTAAATTTGGAGATTATTTACAAATGGAGCTCCGAAATCAGTTTGTATTTGGTTTAAAAAACCAACGCATCCAAGCAAGGCTGTTGGAAACAGCAAACCTCACGAAGGATTCAGCTTTAAAAATTGCATGCGGAATGGAGTTGGCAGAGAAGGGCGTTAACAAATTAAAAGAAGAAAATCTTGTGGAATCGACCGTTGACTACATCGGAGCGGGAGCCAAACAAAAGAAGGCGAAAGGTCGCGAAGATAGAAAGGCAAATTCTCGAAATCAACAACAAGCAGGATCGAAGAAGGACGCACCGTCAACAAACCGTTCCATAGTCAAATATAATAAGTATTCGAATAACAAGCGTACGAATTCGAAAATAAACGATATTATTTGTTATAGGTGTGGAAAGGCTCATTTGGCGCCAAGCTGTACCCTTCCTCGGAGCGTAAAATGCAATGAGTGCGGAGGTTTTGGACACCTCCAGAAAGTGTGCAAAAAGAAGGGCCAAGCCCATTTGCTGGAGGAGGTATTCCGTGTGGATGATGGAGAGCATTTCGAGCAAAGGGCAAAATTCACCGTGCCGCTTCAAATCGAAAACAAGCTGGTGAAATTCGATGTGGATTGCGGATCAGCGGTCACATTGGTGAGCGAAAATTAACGCATAAAAACGTTTCCAAACGCTAAGATATATAAAACTCGGTTGCAATTACGCTCTTATTGTAAACAGAATTTCGTGCCGCTCGGGTTCATTAAAGTTAAAATCAAGGACGTAAATGAAATTAAAATATTAAATATGTATGTAGTAAAAATCGATCGAGATCCATTGTTAAGGCGAGAGTGGATTAATCAATTAAAATCTTTGGAAAAAATTAAAAATAGTTTGAAAGAAATAGAAGACGTGGCTACTCTAGACGCGTCCGGGCAAGAACGATTGTCAAAGTTATTAGAAAATATAAAAATGTATTAAGCGAAGAGTTTGCGCACATTAATAAATTTAAAGCTCATTTAAAGTTAAAACCGAATGCAAAGCCTGTGTTCATAAAAATCGGTTGGTGCCTTTTAAAATATTAGAGAAAGTTGAAAAAGAATTAGAAAATATGTTAGAGGCCGGAATTTTAGAAAAAGTGGAATCTTCAAACTGGGCGACGCCTATCGTCCCGGTATTAAAAAAAAATGGCGGGGTTAGAATTTGCGGTGATTTTAGTGTAACAGTAAATCCGGCGTTAATCATTGATGAACATCCCTTGCCCACGATGGAAAAGTTCGCTTCAATGTCGGGTGGCACGATCTTCTCTAAAATCGATCTTAAACAAGCGTATTTACAATTACCGGTCGCGGATCCGGACAGAGAAATCTTAACTTTAAGCACGCATAAGGGTTTATTTAGATGTAACCGTTTGATGTACGGAGTGGCATCCGCACCTGCGATATGGCAGAGAACAATAGAAAGCATACTGGGTGGAATACCCGGTGTTGCAGTATTCTTGGACGATATCAGAATCGCGGGGAAAAATATAAATCAACATTTCGAGAGATTAGAATGTGTATTAAAAAAGCTATCAGAGTATAATATTCGTATAAATTTTGAAAAATGCGCGTTCCTAAAAGATCAAATATCCTATTGTAGATACTTAATTAGTAAAAAGGGAATTTTAAAAGAGCCTAAAAAAATCGAAGCGGTTCAAAAGATGCCAAGGCCAACTAACATTACTCAGCTGCGAGCGTTTATTGGATTGGTAAATTATTATGGATGTTTTATTGAACATTTAAGTAATAAATTATACCCATTAAATAATTTGTTAAAGAAAAACGTGAAATTTAATTGGTCCAAAGAATGTGAGATCGCGTTCAATAAAATTAAACTAGAATTTGGAAGTGATAAAGTATTAGTGCCTTTTAACCTTAAACTGCCATTAATCCTCGCGGTGGATGCCAGCCCGTACGAAGTCGGAGCCGTTCTTTCGCACATGTACCCCGACGGTACGGAGCGCGTAATACAATACGCATCGAACACATTAAATGAGACGCAAAAGAAGTACGCGCAGATAGAAAAGGAGGCTTTCGCAATAGTTTTTGGTATTAAAAAATTCCATCAATTCTTGTATGAGAATCACTTTACATTGTTGACAGACAATAAGCCTTTGGCACAAATACTCAACCCGCAAAAGGGTTTACCGGCATATAGCGCGCTGCGTATGCAGCACTATGCCGTGTTTTTACAAGCTTTCAATTTCAATATTAAATATCGCAAAGCAATTGAGCATGGGAATGCCGATGGTTTCTCGCGATTGCCCATACAAGAAAAAAGTAATGGAAATTATGATGTAATCGACGTATTTCAAATCGAAAATGTAGAGGCATTACCTGTAACCGCAAAAAGTATAAGAGATGAAATGTGTAAAAACAAATTGTTAGTAAAAATTTGGAAAGCGTTAATAAACGGAAAAAGTTTGGTTCCGTTAGGCTATAACGACAGCGAGTTCACATTACAGGATGGTATCATGTTCAGAAAAGAAAGAGTGGTTATCCCGATAAGTTTAAGAGATAAAGTATTGAAAGAGTTGCACGCAGGGCATTTTGGAACAGTTAAAATGAAAAAACTCAGTCGTAATTTTTGCTGGTGGCCTAAAATAGATAAGGACATAGAAAACATAACAAAAAATTGTAAGGCTTGCGTAACATTTTTAAATAAGCCTAAAATCAAGGGTAAGCATATCTGGGCACCAGCGTCAGAACCTTTCGAGCGCGTCCACATAGATTTCGCGGGTCCATTTATGGGCCATACTTTTTTAGTTTTGGTTGACACATGTACAAAATGGCCTGAGGTGTATATTGTTAAAAACATGTCCGTTCAAAATACAATCGAGAAATGTAGAGAAATTTTTGCAAAATTTGGATTACCCCAAGTTCTTGTGTCGGACAATGGTCGTACGTTTATTGCGGAAGAATTTGAAAAATTTTTAAAAAACAATGGGATATACCATAAGCTCACAGCACCTTATCATCCAGCCACCAACGGCCTAGCGGAACGCTTTGTACAAACCTTAAAACAGGCGTTGCGAAAATTAAACGTTAGCGATGGCAACATCAAAGTCAATCTGCAGAAATTCTTATTTCATTATAGACTTACGCCTCATTCTGAAATTAATAAATCTCCGGCAGAAGCCATGTTCAATCGCAAACTAAGAAGCAGACTGGATTTGATGTTCCCGAAATCTAATAAAAAATTTGTAATAGAAAATGCCATAAGCGATAGAATTTTTAAAGAGGGCAAAAGAGTCGCCGTGCGAGAATACTTAGTTAAAAATATAAAATGGCGATTTGGAAACGTAGTATCTAAATTAGGAAAAGCGCACTATTTAGTTAAACTAGATAGCGGAAAAGTTTGGAAACGGCACAGTGATCAGATAAGAAAAATTGGTGAACGAATTAATACCCCTGAGGGAACAAGTAATTTCGGCATTGCTGATCATTACGGTCCAGCGGAGGTATCGCAGGATTCTGTGACTCCAAGCGATAACGATCAAGTAAAACCTGCACTCGAAAGCATTGTCTCTGACAATTTGAGAAGCTATCCAGAAATCCCTGAGATAAGCATATCCGAGGAAGGGGAAGCAACGCGAGCCGAGGTTCCACACTCATCAAATCAAGACATAAATGTTAAAAACTGTACAAACGTAAACAGTGAGGCCCGACCTCAGCGGAACAGAAAACCGCCAGAGAGATACGGGAACTACCTAGCGCAAATTTAAAATTAAGTATATTTTTAAGAGATTGTGTTATTAGTTGTAAGTCAGTTATACTCCGTTTAATATTATATATTGATACTAGCTTTAAGTGAAATGATAGTGAAGAAAATTTATTATAAACGTGTTAAGAGATTTTCAATTTAATATTGTATGTCCGATATTAGTTCAAGTGAAATTGTATCTGCGAGGGATATTATAAGTCGTTGAAATATCCCATTCAATATTATAGGGGGAAGAGCTGATATGTATTCAAGTATATACGCCGAGACAAAAACGAGGATTAGCGTGACACCTCTCGGCACTTTCTTTTGGCTATTCGCGAATATTGTCTAAAGCTCTGTTTCCGCCTAATCATCGTTTCCCCCGTTACGACAGACCGAGATCGGCGCGCATAGTGAGCGGAGCTCCGAAATTACTCTCTTAGATTCTCACTGATACTATCGTGATATCTTAATAAGTGTTCCTGTGGTTCAATAGATTATTAATCTCGGTTCTCTCAAATCTATAATAAATAAAATATACAACATTTATATTATTAACTTAACATTTAGATAGTTTCTTGTATGTTTCAACATTGGTAAAAACGATTGTGTAATATTATGTTATAGAATTTTCACTTGATAAGGACCACAACCAAATGGTCGAAACGTCGTGAAAGAATTAAATAAAATTGCTAGTTACGTCAAATCAAGTTTGCCAATCAAGTTTATTTCACCACTAGCGTCCAATATTAATTTTGATTGATTTTATAAATATTTATCACAAAGATAAAAATCTTTGAAAATCTTTGAAAAAATGTAGACGACCAAACTGGGCAAAAATATATTAATTTATTAGATCTTCCTCATTACGTTTTGACCTTTGGTTCAGGTTCTTATCAAATAAACAACCGTTAAATATATGTTAAAATGCAAGATTTTTTGATGTCATTATAATAAAATATGTATGATAGTCATCACTATAAAATTGAATATGTGTGAAAACACGTGTGTCTACTGAGACGTTTAGCTAACAACTGTTGTTCAATTCAATTTTATATAGTGATGACTATTATACATATTTTATTATAATGACATCAAAAAATCTTGCATTTTAACATTTAACGGTTGTTCATTTAATAAGAACCTGAACCAAAGGTCAAAACGTAATGAGGAAGATCTAATAATTAATATATTTTTTGCCCAGTTTGGTCGTCTACACTTTTTTCAAAGATTTTCAAAAATTTTCATCCTTGTGATTATATTTACTGGCGCTTTCACGAAATTTCTTCTTTTCTTATAAATATTTTCATAAATATTTTATACATGTTTTTGAAGTCTTAGATTCAATAGATCATAAATATTTATCATAAATATCAGAAAATATTTACGATAAATATTATGGTAAATATAAATATATTTATTATATTATTATAATAGATTTTAAAAATTTATATTTTCTTTAATAAATACTCAATAAGAAATGAGTTAAAAAGACATAATCAACGATTTTTAATCAAAACGATTAGTTGATACAGTCTAATCTAAAATTTGGTCGATTAGATTGGTTTTTGTTGTGTTTTCAAACTCTATTAGACATTTATAAAAAGTTAAAAATGTGTAAAAAATGTTTATAAGTAACTTATTAGACATTTATTTTAAAATAGAATATAAAATTTATAATATATACTGAATATACTTAGGCAACAGAGTAATTTAACAAATAAATTTACATACAACTCGATATATACACGTAAATTTATTTGTTAAAAGACATTCTGTTGCAGGAATGTAGCTCAAAAATAGAAATAATTTTATGACATTTTTAATTTTATTAATTTCCGTCTTTGCCAGCTTTATTGTATAATTCTCACGACGAAAATCAAACACGAGAAAGATACGTCACATAGCGGTAAATGAAAGAACTAATTTAGTTAAAAAATTTACAAACTAATTACTATAAATATTTATCTTTATATACCATAAATATTTATATAAAATATTTAATCTATGTGTTAATAATATGTTAAATCAAGGTTTTTATAAAACATTTTTAAAATATTTATATATATTTTAAAAATATATATATTCATAAATATTATAAATCTCTATCATAAATATTGTGTGTTGTCTGGGTCAAGTTGATCGATATGCAGTAATTGAATATATAGGGTACCCCGTAGGAATTGTTATATATTTCTGCAAATGTAAATATAATATTTATAAAACATTGCAGAATATTTCTTATTTTTTTATTTTCTTTGTCATTTATTTATCTGATATTTCTGAACAATCAGTTTCATATCTGAGTTCCCTGTGTTGGGATCGCATCAGATAAATTAAATTAATAATAATAAGTAGTTCTAATAGCAATAGCCACTTTTTGTATATTTATATAATGTCATGACTAAAACTTAAATGCGAGATAGATAATTTCACGTGCGGCGCATGAAAGCGGTAAATGAAAGAACTATCCCTAAGAGCACACATATCCAAAGACGTTCAGAAGACTTCCAGAGTATGTTGAGAAATTCTCTAGCTATCCTCTGAATGTTTTTCGAATATATTGTGCTATTAGAGATGCGATATAATATAGCAATAATATTTTACAATGTTTACAATAAAATATTAAAATTATAATATTTGCATAATATTATTGCAACTAGCTTTTCCCAACATTGATCTCACTATTATTAGTTTTCACATAATTTTTTATTTTACAAAATCTCTTTGTATACACATTTTGTCGTAAAAGGCTTCGGATTTCTTTTAATGTTGCAAATTTT